AGGTGCGAAATTATCGGTCAGTGGGGAAGCGATCACAAAGAGATGTTCCTTTGGGGATAGTCTCGTCTGAAATACTTGCCTTGTACGCGGCGCAACATTATTTTGGAACATTATCTTCGTCGAACACCTGCTAACGCTTCTTCTCGCGCAGTTTGATGCGACATAAGAAAACAATTTTGAGAATAATCTCCCCGCCATTTATTACGTAGTCACGCGAGGAAGAAGTTCTTCCGCCAGAAGCGTGATACTTCTCTTTTTCTTCTCGTCTTCGCTCTTGCGGGCATCCGTACTGCATCCGCCGAGCCGCGCTTATAAAGAAAGTCGAAAACATGCGAGAATCTTACATATATTCGTGACAATATTCATAACATTCATCTCGATCGTCGCCAAGGGTCATTATTTCGTTCACTCCGGCTTATTCTGGTGCCTCTATTCTTACTCGAATCAGCTTCTTCGTGTTTTCCAACGCGGTTGAACCACGGCGGTGATATTTAAGAGAGCGATCACGCAAGCAACTTTGTTGTCGGGGGCCTCTTTCGCATTAATTAGCCCTTACAAAATTTCGCGGGCCCGTACGTTGCTCCGAAGAGAGAGGTAGGACGTAACTCGACGAATGGTGGCCGAGGGTTTATACTTCTGGGAAGATGGTCATAAAGACTGCTTGACTTCTACTGGCTCTGTTATTAGCCACGTTGCTGCGACTTAAAGCGAGCAAGGCTCGGGGAAGGATACTGACAGGGCCCCGGGGATATAATCGCGCTTTACCTTTCACATGGCAGGAAGATCCGACTAATCTTGCTACTACGAGAGACTACATGCTTTATTTCTATACATCCGACTCCATTTATTACTAACCGAAAATCTATGGATTTCGTTGCCAATGATATTGATTAAACAATTTTAATCGAGATCATTCTTAATTAAAACTTGACGAAAATAACGCCGCTAACATTTGCGATTTATACAGTCACATTTGTCCAAACAAAGGCAAAATTGAGGATAATATAAATAAAATGAAAAATACGTAAAGCAACAGAAGTGAAAGAAGTTTGTAAAGATCGATGAGACATTTTTGAAAAGATATTCTCGGGGTCGATTAGCAATAATTTAATAAACGAATTGCAAAGAAATCTTTCGTCCCACATGCCTGCGAAGTGAAAAACTTGGAAGGTGAAAAGTAGCACACGACACCAATGTCTCTCACACGAGCGAAAAGGGGCAAGGTAGCGCGCGCGAGAGCAATCCCGACGGGACAGAGAAGTTTTACGCGGGGATTATCAGGAAGCGAAGCGAACGCCCATGAATACGGAGATCCTCCGATAAAAGGACGAAAAAAAGAGGCGACGGCAGTGGAGCTGAAAGGGGAAAGACGGAACGGCACGCGGGCGGAGAAACAGAGAAAAAGAGAAAGAGAGAAGGAACAGAGAGGGAAAGAGAGAGACCGGGAAAGAGTTGGTAACCCAGTGCCGCCAGGAGAGTGCCGGAGCAATGTAGTCGACCACGAATGAGCGTACCAACGGATGGAGAGGCAACACTTTGTAGTTTTAATCGATCCGGTGGGACGGGGGAGAAAGACGAAGCACCCTAGCACGGGGGATGAGTCGCTGGTGTGCGGAGAAGGAGCGAGGGAGAGAGAGAGAGAGATCGTTCGAAGGTGGAAAGAAGACAGAAACGGTTCGCAGGAAGTGGAACGAGTGTCGCCGGTTCGTCGACGAGCGAGAGAGTAGAAACGTCTGCGGGGAAAGCGGGAAAGCGGGATAGAAGGAATAGGGCGAGAGAGTAGAGACCCACATCCTGCCGACTCCTACAACTTCAACCACCAGCTGGCTACACTCCTGCCTCCACGGGGACGAGTTATATGTGAAAAGCACGTGGACCTTCGGGAGGAAGAAGGACAGCTGTATTCATTCATTTCCTCGTATATTTCGTGTAAGAGACTTTCCCTTCTTCCATGTCGACGCTCGACGTAACATGCTCGTGGGGAAAAAAAGACGACCGATACGACGCGTTGAATTTCATTGACCCTCGCGATAATGTGACTTTACACCTATGTTAATCAATTTGTTCTTGTCAAGATCTTTTTCAATACATTTCGAAATAGCGTTAAGAAATTATTAGACTCGTCTGTTTATATATATATAACTCCATCTACGCTGACAATGAGTTTAGCACAGATTTATCTATGTTTAGTCTTAAGTTGAGTTGCAATGGCTGCAACGCTATATCCATCTTCATTAATTTTGCAATAATTTCGTCGAAATTTGCGGATCATCCATTGCATTAGTTACAGAAGAATATGAATAACTTATGGAGGAATATGAATATGAATAACAGTTACCTGTTTTGATCGTATTTAAATTGCAAAATTAATTAAACGTCTTCGTCACACCACAATAACGTAATATATATAGATTGATAAAAATTATATTTTTCTAGCGGTTTTGCAAGCAAATGAGTACCTTTACGAGTAAATGATTGAAAATGTTACATTAGATTTTTTTAACTGCAATTAGTTTTTTACAATCAACAAAAAGACAATTATTTTAATTGTGAGAAACCAACTTCTAAACTATATTAATTTAGCATTAATAAACATATTTTAAGCAGATTTTTTACAATTTACGAGTAAATAAATATGTTACATTAGATATTTGTTAACTCTGTCATTAGTTTTGTATACTTTATAATCGACAAGAAGATAATTATTTTATTTTAATTGGTTGTGAAGTTAACTTCTAAGTGACTACATCAATTTAGAATTAGCTAAGTTTCAAAGTACAAAAGTAATAGCGAAAGAAATTTCACGAAGAATTGAACTGGCGTTTAAACTAAACTGGCTATCGAATTGCTCGAATCGTGTCTAAGGATCGAATCACGCTGGAATATGGTCGGGGTCGACGTCAGAGAAATTGAGGGGAGAACATTAAAACACCGAGGGTGCGGACGGTGTCAGTGGCGTCGGCGAGGGCGGCACATAGGCAGGAAAGGGGTAAAATTCTATCTTAATAAACGCACCCTTCCAGCTCGCGCAGCGTGTAACTTCGTACGCCTACAGTTTTGTACGCATTGGAATGGATTTGTAATCGAATCATGTCAGTGATTTCGCTCTGATTTGGAATTAAGAACGGAACTAGAAATGAATCGGATGAAATAAATTGCAATTAGTGCAAATTGTAAAAATTATAATTTTTATCATTTCGTATATTACTCTTATTAGGAAACATATCGCTCTCTCTTTTAACTATTATATCTTATAATAACAATTATACAATATAATTCTTCAAAACTGTGATTCTCGTAATTACAACATATATATATATATATCTTGAAGTGAAAAAGAAGTGTAATGACAATGCAATATTAAAAGATAATTAGTGAAACTCCAAAGAAATATATTCTGCAATTGTCTCTCAAGAGAGATGCAATTTACCGAATAAATAATATGCTACAAAATACACATACTTCATAAATCTTATTCAAAAGAATTTTATACAGAAATAACTTAAGTAAAATATTAAATAGTTAAAGTTTCATTCAAATTTTACAGCTTGGTACCCTTTCCGATCGAGTCGTCGAACGGTTGAATGCGCAAAAATGTCGCGTTCCGACGCAATTGTAACTATCTCTAAAAATTAATGTTCAAATGAATCTAATAATATTAATTAAGATTACACGATGGGTATAATATAATTCTGCACGTATAGAATAAATTGTGTGTAATTACATGAGACGATTCGCGAAGAACGGAATGTCATTTTTGCGATACGTTCTTATCACTTATACGCGTTACGCTTCTATCATGATTTTGTAATCATCCAGCTTGAACAATGAAATGTTCACGAAACATCATCATCGTCATGATTAATTGTGTAATAAACCAAAACACATTAAAACATTACAGTAAGATACTTACATTATTATCTGCATGGATGTGCATCTATTGCGCCTAATTGTCTAAAAAAGAAGAAAAAAAGGAGAAATAAGTGAGTTTGCGCCAACTATCTTCGACATGCTATATTAATCGAAGTTTGCGCATTTTTTATTCAAAATATTGTGCATTTACTTAAAGAATCGCGAAATCTATGTCATATGAATTATTATAAAAAAAAATTTAGATAGTTTCTATAATTCTTAACAATTTAATTTTGATGTGTATATAAAAAATGCTCCTACTTTATGATGTTGAGGAATTATCAGTCAAAGACGTATAATTGCGACTTCTGCGTATGTTTTAATTAAAATAGTATTCTTACTCATTTTTACATAGAATTTGCTATAATTTTTGCTATTAAATTTGCCATAGAATTTGCTATTTTAATGCTTTTATAATTTATCACGTATATCACAGATTATAAGAAAGTTTTGGAAGTCTTTTGCTCTCAATAATATTTAAACTTGGATTCGGGTCTTTCTATGAATAATGATTGATTATCAATGCGTATTTACAAAATTCTTTCATTTCCATCATGTTAAACATTATTAATCACAATGTCGAAAATAATATTATAGTTTTCACTCAAAAACGAAACTTGCAACATACAACGTCGCTGACCAAATGTTCTCCAATGACACCAGCGATCTTTTTACCGTTCAACTATCAAAGATAGAACTGATTTTACCTATCTCTTTGGTTCCGTATCTTCTAGTTCAATCAATCTTATTTAGTTCTACCAGTTTTTAAAATTACACCTTTACTCACATACCGTTCAACTATCAGAGATAAAACTGGTCCTACCTAATGGTCCCACATCTCCTGGGTCTACCGATCAGTTCTTAAAATCACACCCTTACTTATATGCCGATCATGTTCTTTCCTCTCGCGACGGACTCTCCGGAGTCTCATCCTCGGTACCGATCGCTCCTCCCGGGCATCCCCGCCGGCGAACTCACCAACCCCGTTGGGCTGATTTGCATCACGGTTACGAGCTCGTTCGAGCTCGTGGTGGTTATATTACAGAGGGAGCGGGATGCGAACATGCTGGAAAAACAGAGACGGACAGAGGTACCTCTCGCGAGCGAACCACCCCTAAAGTGCATCGCGGGAGGTAGCTCGGACACTCATAACAATCATAACAACGGGATCTCGCGAGTAACTCGTGGACCACCTCCGCGCATCGTACCGCCCAACGTACCGCCCCTATTACCCCTTCTATGCCGACTACTGCCAGGCGGGAGAATCGTCACGGCGGGTTGTCTTCCCTCGGTCGTACAGCGGTGCCACTACGCAGCCAGACTGCGGACCGTCAGGGTTCAGGTCCGAGTTTTCGCGGCGAGCTCCAACCGCGCAACGTGCACGACCACGCTGCCAAGCAAGAACGGCACGAGGAGAAGAGTGGATCGTCTGTTTTCACTGAGACACCGAATCCGCAGCAAGATCTGGATCTTCGCTCGCAGTGTTGATCGTGGAACGAGGAAAAATTGTATTCCGAATTGGAAGAGAAATTGGAGCTAAAAGACAGTCGGGGAAGATCGAATCGAGCAGGCAACGTCTCCTTCGAAAGCGTCGCACCTCTTGACGTGTCGTTAAATAGCTAGTGTTTGTGAAACTAAGTAGTGATTGAGAAGTTTGAGCGTGCAGTTGCATGCGCCGATTTATCCGGCCTATCAGCACGTGGCCCATAGGGGTGGGATTTCTTTTAAGTCTGCGCTTCGTGGACAGTTGAGCGTGGTGAACTCTGTGACATTGACCAGTGAAATGTGTGATTAAAGCATTTCTGGTTAGATAAACTTAAAACGTTAACTCTTTTGACAATCGTGTTATTTCATTAAGCTGTTTCAAATCAAGGTGATTGCTTCGATTTACTCCGCACTTATCGAACATAAATTAGGAGTAAGTGTGTGGGAATTGGTTAAATTGCATTAAGTGCACACAGAATAGATGAGATAAAATTAATTAATACGAAGGTAAAGAAATCTTGACAATTTTGACGTAAGAAGTCCAGATTAATCTACCAATTCCGAGAAGAGATACGCGTTCTTAAATAGCATATTCAGCATTGTCAACATTGTCGTTGAATATAAGAAAGCGATGAAACAAGGACTCCGGCTTTAATAAGTTTCTAATTATCGCGACAAGTACGCTGATAATTACGATACGCGCGTGATCATCGCGTGAGCACATAGGTGTTTTTCAACACAAAATTATATGTTACGGACAACAACTACGAAGTGAACGGCTTGACGCGCACAAATAGAATAATTAAAACCACATTACGTGAAAAGGTGTGCTATCTGCCGATTATCTGCATTGTGACGCGGTGGAGCAGTGTCAGAGGATCAAATCACTAAGTTATCATTCCGAGGTATCCCGATCATCCGGAATAGCTAGAAAACGGCTCGAAGACGTCTCGCCTTCCGAAACTTCTTTCAACTAATCGCTCACGCGGGAACAAGAGGAGATTGAATCGACCAAAGCAGCATTTTATCGAGCTGCGAGCAATTAAGTATTTGTTTCTTAATCGCTTCTAATTAGCCACAATTACCCGCTGTAATTAAATAGGCTGATGTCATCGGGGACCGATGTGAATCGTTCGTTTCTTCGAGACTGATCTTACTATCCGAATAAACTATTAATATTCGCCGAGAGGAAAATTACCGAGAGATCGACAAGAGAAACAGTAGAAGAAAGAGATCTTTGGAGAGAATTTGAAACGAGACGTGTCTTGGTGTAAGCGTGGCATCGACTAGAACGAGAAAGGAATAGACATTAGGCTGTTGATCGACGAGATCGGCACAAGATCCCGCGAACGGAATTGCACCGTGGAGAAGATAAATAATCGCCGCTAGATAAACCCGCGTCAGGACGACGTCCCAAATACATCAGTCACAGATCGCCTCAGGTGAGTGTCAGAACACGAGTTTGCTCTTGCTTATTATAAGCCCGGGCTAATCTCGGTAATTAGATGGGCCTTCTAAATGCGCCCGGTTGGTTTTGCACGTGTGTAGGCTCGCACGCACGCGTGCGCGCACGCACGCACGCACGCACGCACACACACACACACACACACACACACACACACACACACACACACACACACACATTCATACACACAGATTAATCGCGCCTACAAATGCGCCTGCGCGCGCATCGCATGCACGCGCTTAAATATATCTAGTTATAAGATATATATATATATATATATATATATATATATATATATATATATATAGTTTATATATAAGCGCTTTTTGTATAATGTCTCGGGAACAGATATTAGTAATGGAAATTTAATTAATTCTGTATTTTACTTATCTCATGTCATAACTTCGAAAAACGATTAATTAGCTGTTGGATACAACTTCTTACAAATTTCTTACAAACAGTAGAATATTTTTCATCGACTTAGCAACATCGTTTAATGTCAACATATATTAGATCTAATAATAGTTAACGCGTTGAATGAACCAGATAGATTAAGACACGCTTGAAGCAATTACTAGAAGAATGAAGCGGAAACTCAGCCCTGAGATCTATTTATTCGTTTCCACTGTTATGCGCATATTCAGACGGCAATTGCGTGCCTCGTGAGCGATAATCGTTGGCTCGATACCATTTAGTTAATCTCGGTAATTAAGGAAGTTCCTCTCCCAAAGCTGGTCACGCGGGAATTTGCTCGCAAGGGATCGAAAGCAGTGTTTCATTCTATGCGCTTCATTCCAACTCGGTGATAATTTCATCCAGATACTTAGCTATGCACTAATAATTAGCGCGATAATTATGCACGTCCGCGTATACTCGCGTCGAGTATGTGACCTGGAAATACTAATTGAGGGATCGGCCGGACATATAAATGTAATGCGGTTGTATATGGTTCTTAATCTTCATCGTTTTTTTTTTCATTGCTTGATAATATGGAGAACTAGAGAATCAATATCATGCAAATATTATATCAGATGAGAATGAACTGTATACGTTGTTATAATTATCATGACTAACATGAATGATATAATCAAAAGATATTCTTATCTGATGTAATATTTTCTTATTTACTTTAATTTATGCATACAGAGTTACTAAACCGATCATAAATATAATAGAAATAAAGTAGCAGTAAAGGCTAAATTTATAAGTTGAGGAAAAAATTATAATTTTACAAAAAGTATAATTAAAGTTTAAATTATATTTCAGTCAATTAATTAATTAAAATATTATTTTTTCATTCTTCTCAAAAAGTTTATCGCAACAATTGTTGAAGTACGAAAGATGATATTAAAATTTTGACAAATACAAAAGTCAAGATAATAATCTCGATAACATATGCAGTTACAGAGGAAATAATTTATTTTGCAATCAAAAGTCTGTGTACATTATAAATGACGTGACACGGCATGAAAAAATATTCTTCTCTAATATAAACATATTCATATTAAATTTAAATACGTAAATTATAAATATAAATACATACGTATAAAAAGATATTTACAGAAGAATACTTTGTCATGTTGTGTCGTTGTGTAATTATACACATTAAATATGAATTTATATATGTATATAAAAGAAAGAGGGAGAAACAGTATCATTTGTCAATATAATTCAAGTACCAGAATGTTCAATAATTTACCTAGTTTATTCACAAATAAACTAGGTAATTTAAATTTACCTAAAAGAACCCGAAATAAAATTCGATCAAACTGACTTCAATTGTTAGTTGTTCGTGAATGCGATAATGAGGTAATCGCAATTATTAGATATATATTTATAGATGTTCCCATTGTTATATATATACGTTCGTGTTCTTAAAATCTTTATCTAAAAGAATTTTTATCAAAAAACACACACTATTTTCTTCGCGCAACCGATGAAGAAAAAGCTAACATACTTAGACTTTTTCGATGATGCAAATTAATATATATATATATATATATATATATATTTGTAATTAAACACGACGACGTTGAACGCGTCGCGTCATCTCCCGGATCATATGACCAGAGAGGTAAACAGGAGCACGTGTTGGCGGCGTGACTACGAGTGACGGCATGAACTCTGGGGATGGAGAGGAGGCAGAGGGAGAGGTAGAGGAAGAGGGGGTGACGATGGTGGACGGGAAGGGTGACGAGGGTGGAAAATCAGTGTGAGTTGCCCGAGGGTAGGAGAGTTCTTTGCTTGCCGCCTCGGGAACACGGAGGATAGATGAAAGAGAGGGTTGGTGGAGTCAAAAGGGAGGGAGAACAGTGAATTCTAGCCGCCGAAAGTGGAAGCGAGATGGTAGAAGCTTGGCCGAGCAAAATCGTTGGTCGGTGGGAATAGACGCGGAAAGCTGAAAGCAGAAAATCCCAAAGGAAACACTTGACTCGCGATATCGTTGGTGTGTAGGCGCTTTGGAATCGACACAAAAGAAAACGAGATGTCTCGTGATGTTGGTTAAACGACGCCGAATTTCAGTCGAGCTATTTTGTAACCATTATATGTTTTTCGTGCAATTTCTTTTCTAAATCTCAACATTGGAAAGTAGTGATTTCTAACTCTCATGAATCAATTTGTAAGAAAACTTGCACGCGCTAATCTGTTCTGTGTATATAAAAAAAAAGAAAAAATATATATGTATATGTATATAATTACACTTGGAAAAGATCAGCACGTATAAATTTTCTTTGTCATGCATTGATTCATAAAAGTCAGAAATCACTTGAATCATTGTATCGAGTCAAGAAAATCGATGCATCCCTTTCTTATATCTTTTTGCCTCACCCCTTTCTGTTCTCTTCTTCTCTTCCATTTCTTTTCTTTCTTTTCTCTTATTCCCACCGCCCTCGCACCCTCTTCCGTTGGTTTTTCCATTCAAAGCTTCCCCTTCGCCCGGTTTTTAATCCTCACCGACAATCTCCTTCGCACGATAACATTTCGTTCTACAACTTACCCACTTTCAGCTCGCTTTACAACCGCGCTATTCCCTGTTTTCCCCTCCGACCAAGAATCTTCATCGATTATCGACTCGGAAATCGCTCCGGGTAAGAAAGTTTTGCTGCAGAAATTCGATACGTCAAGTGTGAAACGTTACACTTTCTCGTCGTTTTGCACGCTACACAATTTAACGTTAATGATTATTTTCCGCTTGCATAACAGAAAATGCACACTACAAAATTTCTTCGAAAGATATAACCCTTTCTCGTTATCCTTTTGAACGTGTTACAAAGGACAGCTCTTTATTTTCGCGAAGCTACCGTTACGTCGGCGGCGATGAAAGATACGCGATGTAAAAAAACCTGATCCAATATTCGTATTAAATCATACTATTTGCGAAAGCATTAGCAATTTCATCAATTTTGCATCGTAAACAAAGTAACTAGGCAAACTCTTTGTTGCGCCGAAATTTTTCCTCGGCAAATTTATGATTAGCCTCCCGCAATATTGTGAAAGAAAACAACGTGTGCGAACTCATTAATTCTAATAATTCATGAAGAAACACGCACGCACGTAATAGCTCGGAGCGGCTTATGATTTGACGGATAGAGAGTTGCCTCATAGCACTCGTGTTTTTATTGTATATACGCTGGGTAAGCTATATTCTGATATTTTAATAGACCTAATTTGCATGTAAAACCACTTTCAAAATCATTTTGTCTCCAACACACTGCTAGTGTTCCCTTTCTTAAGAAAAGAACTCGAATATTAACGAATCGAAAAAGCATTAGGTAATTCCTCAAGTAATCATTCGTTCAGATCTTTTTCTTCTTTTCTTTAAAAATAGTAATACAATTTTTCTTTCTATCTTTTCCTACTAGATAAAAATATTATTAGCGACTAATTTATCTAATAATAGAGGTTGACTAAATAATTTTGTAGTAGAGCGGTAAATAATTTAAGACGAAGCAATGAGCATTCTGCTGTAAATAATCGAGAGCACTTTTAACAGATCAGAGCGAGTTCACTTATAAGAAAGAGAAAAAGGGGTCCAATGAACCGAACCGCACGTTTTTGGGCCAGATGTTAATTTCGACGACTCAGCGTGAGCCACGAAGGCGGTTTAGTACGTAAATACATCTTCAGCAGGGGGTGCCATTATAATGGGCATGTGCGGTTAAAGTTCTATTTGTGGTAATTCGGAGTTTAATGCACTCGGAGCGTTCTGATTTAGCCAGCGAGCTGACACTTTTTTATTCGGCAAAACCCCAACGACGCTCTGGCGCCGTAAAACATGAAATATTCTTCCTGCGCCTCGCTCTCTGAAGGACACGTCGCAGGAAACTCTTGGAGACGTCATCTCGTTCGGGTGCCAACTTTCAGCGAAAAATGACATATAGAAAAAAAGAATAGATTTGGCGAGATACGTTATAAGAAGGTTAACGAGTAATAAAGAAACTGGAGAAATCGCGAATTTGGGATTAATATAGACATTCGTCATATGTTGCTTTAGAATCTTTTCGCGATATAACATTTTATTTTTACACGATGAACTCATTTCTGTTCGCGGGATTAGCTTTCGCTTCGATTATCGTCTCGAAAAAGAATTTCGCCGGAATAATGTAAAATGTTTGTAACGCCAGATGAGAATTCCGATGGGGGCATAAAATATCGCGTCTTCGGTTAACGCGTGTTGATGTCGAACCCCTTCGGCGCCGATTTATGGGCACTCTCGCGCTCGCCGATGCGCGCGTTACGCGTTCACACGTACGCACGTACACGTATACGCACCTACGCCATGTGTACATTCGAAACTGAACCGACGAGGCGTTCGCACAGTCGCATTAACGGCCGCGCTGTTCAGTTTAATCCTTGCGTTTCGTGACTCGGGACAAAGCCCCTCGGATTTCTGACAGAATGGTATCGCACGAAACGGCCATTACCTTAGCCGATATGCCTATGTACGTACGCGAGTTAAAGGTCGATGCGAATTAACCAACACGGATGCGGCGGGGATTCTTTGTACACTCGCCTTAATTATGCTCGCTCTCGTGCCGGCGAAGCGAAACTGCTATATAGAAGGGTGTAGCATGAGAAGCGGTTTAATCTATCGCGCGCTTATTATATTGCATTTACTGCTCGATCGTAGCAAACTGGCGAGTACGTATAAGGTAATCCGAATCGACCGTACACGAGCACGTTCACAAGAGCGCGCGCGACGCTCATTCTTACTTCTTTTTAGCGTTAATGCCCGGTTAGACGTCACAAAGCCGCGATTATACCATCGCCATTAGGGCGCCCGCTCGATTACGGGAGATCGTGACGAAAAAAAAATTCGGGTAAGGACAATGTCGCGATGGGTGGTTGCCAACTGGTCCCGCTGGGATCATTTTATTCGGCTGTGTTTTAAGTTGGTAGGGGATTACTCACACACGTGTTTCTTTACCCCTACGTTATTCACCCTCTCCACCAAACATGGATCAAAAACTCGGACTTTCTTTCACGAGTTTCAATAAATCTCATTCGTTACCTGTTGGTCATTCCATTAGAATTACGGCTATGAGAAGCTCGTCGAGAGATTGGCTAGATTCTTGATCAGATACAGAGGTCTCTGACACGATCTCTGCGTTATTGTTCCGAGAAAGAAAGTTGGAAACGAGCAATTTGTAGGTTGAATGAAATATTCTCGATGAGTGAAATTTCTCGATGAGTACCGGGAAATCGCGTATCGTCAGCGAGCGTTACGAAGAAATGGTCAGTGGTTTGTTGCATGTGTGGCCATATGGCGATTATCCGGCTGGTTATTTATAGCTTAAGACTCGAGCAACGCAACGGAACACCCCAGACACGCAGCGCCCACGATTTGTGCATTGCCGTCGCGCCGCGCGCGAATTGGACCGAGTCTAGAAATTCTAAAAGCGCCGTGTCTTGACGGTCGGGAATCGGCCTCGTAAATCGCGAACGCCTCGTACGAGAAGCCTCTCGGCTTAGAGGTGGTTTATAAGCGCACACCTCCGTAGCCCCAAGCGGCGTTGTCCTACCAAGAGAGGAGAATGTCGGCGGCTACGTAGAAACTAGCTGCTGGCCAGAGGCGCCCGGTTGTTTCTAAACCCACCTTATCTACTGGACCCCTATAATAAGCCGCGATCTGAGACCCCGTCTATATCCCCGCCCGCACACGCTCCGAGGAAGCCCGCACGCACACACATACACGCGCATGTCACGCACGCACGCACTACATTCGCATTTCTCTCGCTATAGGTAGCTACCTCTCGCAATCGCTGGACGCGTATAGGCCACGAGGAGAACGCTTGCAATTACAAGCTGGTCAACATATAATTATCCCCAATGACCATAAATTACCAGATTTTTATGCGCAACATTCTTAATTACCCTTTGAATTAACATCAATCAACCCCTTAATTGCACGCTGCCTTGACGTCGTCGTTGTCGTCGTCGTCGTCGACGATGTCGGCTATAGAACTATAATGCGAAATGGCGAATGCATGCCGGAGGGCTAAAGCGGAGGACGCGGAAGAAAGATGCGCGAACTGACTGGCGTGAGAGAAAGAGACAGGGAGAAAGACACGATCACGATCGGGGAAACGGCGGGTGTCGCTCGAGGACAATTCAGGAGGAGGATGACTTCCAATCCTCGAGAATATCTCCGTCGCATCGCGTCGTGTCTGGCCGAACGACAGCATCACATGCAATGCATCCGTTTTTTTTAATTAATCCTCAGAGGTCCTCGAGTGATTTTCATATCAATCGCCTTGGCGTATTAATCGCGGTGTCCTATTACACCGGACTTTCACCGTTTATCCAACGAGTGATTATCATCGTGAAACGTCGCAGCCGAAATCGAATCGCTAATGAAAGAGATTGGCAAAATTTATTTTATCGTTTTTGGAGAACAACTCGACCGTACGGGAGAAATCAACAATTTTAAAGAAAAATAATTCAAGACGAAACCCTGCACTCTCATGGATGCCCGATTTAATTTCTACATAGAACATTTCTAGAGGAACCTCACGCAGACCTTTACTCTTTTCCGAAAGATTTATATGATCCCGATCGTGAGGGGCGCATTTTTCAAGGTCGCAGGACGCGAAGGTACCAATTTTCAAATGGTCGGCCATGGTGACGTTTGAACGATCGCGCTATAATCACTCGCGATATCTTCGTCCGGTTAAGAATTCCTCTTCTATTTCACGAATCACGAACGGGGCGATGCGATACGCTAATGAAACCGCACTCTCATTAAAGCATCCAAATCGACGATACTAATTGGCTAGCTTTCGGAATACCCGGCATTAGACCTCAGGACGCGATATAATAATCGCTGCGGACGAATTCGGTTTGGACAGCCGGTGGTTAAAGCGTCTAGTAATTTCACGGGCACAACCCTATAGCGATTAATATGATTCCGACGGAAATTAATGACTGCAAACGGAAAAAAGATGGGTTGCGTATAGTCCTGCCCCGATGACGCGATCTTGTAGAGCAGATAAAACGCTCAACAGAGATTAAATACTTTGGAATCTTTTTTTCCGAGAAGGGGATTTTACTCTGTTGTCAAAAATCAGATTTTTTAACGCGGCAATTTCGGTACATTCGCGTAATATTATGCTTCTCTTTGAGACATATTACGTTCAAGAATGATTTTTGATACAAGGATCGATGAAAATATATTTTAATCTGTTTATTGTTTTCTTGATACAAAAATCGAGTAATGTTAATTATAGTTTAATTAATTCTTCTCGTTGCACGTTGCATATATTAATTCTCGGAGCAATGATCGATGCCATTTCTTCATCTAATTGCGGTCGCTATATATTTTCCACCAGCATTTTGCCGGTTTAATTGATTTTCAGACAAATATGCAGCGCGATTGTTAGATATAATAATTTTATCCCTCAACATGAATTATCGTTTAATACCGTAATGTAATTGAGAGAAGTATAAGAGAATGTTTATTTATTAAAAAGTTACCGTGAATTATCTTTGAAAGCTTGAAAATACTAAATATTAATTTACATTTATGTATATAACATCGTTTACAAGAAATTCTACATCGTGTAATATACATAAATAAAGAGACATGTATTATCTCGCTGTTTTCTCGAAGAGATTCGAATCGAGGGAAAGTTTTCTCATTGCGAAGAGAATAAATTCAATTTTTTTTATTAAGAAGAGAGAGAGATTAAAAAAAGATTTAATTTATTTTTCGAGCGAAAAATTTGCAACATTTGTATCTAATCCGTGAATGTTGAAGATATACTCACATGGCAGGAAGATTCAAAGCGAAATAACGCGAAAACAGGTGGATAATGTTGAGCAGACTCAAAGAGATAAATCGCATTCATTTTTCTCGCTTCTCGTTTCGCGAGGCATGGTATAAATCACTTTAAGTTCAAAGCCGCAGCAATCGACGGCAGACGTTCAAGTCGAAAAAGGAAAGAAGACTCGAGTTCTCTTCTCAATTTTGTTCAATCGTCCCGGCGTGTCTTGAGAAACAGAAACTTTCTCGTCATTGTCGTTAAACGAACACAAACGCGTATCAAGATACCCATATTTATAGGGGAACGGGCGACATTAACGCCGAAGTTTGCACTTGTGAGCGGTCTATTTGGTACTCAACGACCTAACGCTTTTATTATAAACACGCCGGCCGTTTTAAAGCACTGCATCAAATATTTTTACGATGGCCATTATAAAACGCCTTTTATGAGAAACAAAGTAGCTCGCAGGCAGAAGGTGTTTTCTCGCCCTTTGACAATAATTTGAGCCAGAATAATCGGCTCGTTTCACTCCCTCTTCCTCCCTCTTCTTCCCTCTTTTCAGCCCCTTCCATGACTAGGCTTCCGCTCGATGATCCATCCAGCCGTTCGTCATAGGCGCGTGGCTTTTAAAAAGTAAAGCGCTGGACTCGGGCCAGCGCAAAAATAGAAGCAGATGTTATTAGTTGCGTTCACCAAGTATACGACAGCGGCGCGGCGGCGTCGGCGGTGCAAGAGGAAAGGGAAGGGTACGCGAAAAGAAAGCGACGAGAGAGAGCGGCGTGTCCAGACGGTAGTGATTTCATTGCCCTTGAATTCTTACTAACTGAACGCTTAGATAAAAATAATTAGGCGGATAAACGTGTCGGCTGCGGGCGCCGTTAGTCGGCGATTTTATTCTGGAACCTCTCTCGGCGCCTCTCGCGACTCCCCCTTTTCACCCCCACCCCTTCGCCGCAGACGCCGACCGAACGTTTTTGCTTTGAAGTCGGAAGATGAACGGGCCTGCTTCTCTAATTTTCAGCGTTTGCATTCTTAACAGCTGCACGCGTCGCCGTTCGATACGGCTGATGCGGTCCCGCGCAGTTTAATTAGCGTCTTGTTTATGCGTGTCGTTGTTTAGAAAAAATCAAAATTGATAATCAGCGTTAAGAAGACTTCCTCCTTTTTACGCTACTCTTCATTTTAATCGTCATTTATAAGGATCATGGGTGTCCGCAGGGAGGGACCACCCTTCGCTCTCCTTGTGAATAAACACTGGAATTGATTTGCAATTTTATTTAATATTAAAATAATAAAAGAATTGAATTTGAAGAGAGAATAATACTAAGAAGAAAGAAACAAAATTTTAATAACGCCCTTCCCTGGAAAAAATTGTGCGGACGCCCATGATAAGGACATTAATCCGAAAATGCGGCATCTTGATATTTTTCCTCGTCGCGACTGTTTCTCGCTACTGCGAATCGAAACGCGCGAATTATATTCCCGCTATAATGGGATTGCGTTGTGCCAGGAACTAGCGGCGCGCCCGCTATTAGAACGGTCCTCTGAGAGTTTTGGTCGATTTGCAGATTACGAGTCCCCGGGATGCAAGGCTGACATGGCGGAGGGTTCGGCCGAGGAGGAACAGAGCAGTACCGCTGCGCCCGCTTCCCCGCCAGCTGATCTTCGCACTCTGAACACCCAATTGTCGCCGCCTTATCACCACCAGCCCCATCTCCAGCCTCGTCTTCAGCATCTGCAGCATTCCAACATGCTCGCGACCGCCGTACCGCCCCGGCACAGCCACATGCTGTCTCATCAGGTGAAAGCGGAGGCAGAGCTGGACGGCCCCTGCGATGTGCCATTGAATCTCAAGAGCGAGGTAAGCGCAGAAATCTCTCCCATCGATTATTGATGTTGGAAATCGATTGACTGCTCCCTCTCTCGATTGTTCACTTCGAATGAGTTTTGCTCGCCGGTTGGTTATGCGGCCCGGCGGCGATACCGAATGGAAATCACAACACGAATCGAACGATCGCTCTTGCAAAAACAAGCGCGTTTAACGTAGCAAGAGTGTATAGTTAATTGATTTTAATTACCGCGTAAGATTATTGTCATACCGCGCACGACGGTACGACGGTCTGTGTGTTTATGCTGGTTAACCAGTCTTAAGCGATCGCTCGACTCGACGTGCTTCCGCTCGAACGATCGAGACACCACGACAGCGTTATAAACGTTGTGTACGACGATGTGCTCGAGACGATACGGTCACACTCGTTACTAACGGTTTTGTATGTCAATGACAACCAATTGTACGCTTAAGTAGCCGCCACGCCGCATCTCAACCTAAACCGGCCACTGGTCTTTCTGACCTGCATGCGATTAATATACGAAACAAGGCATACTAAATGACTTCCAGGAAAATAACGTAATCGGTATATATATATATATATAGTCTCATTTTGTAAAACGTATCTTCTAAATTGTACAACACATTTCTTTGAGAAAATTTAAATTTATTATGCATGGATTTTAGATATTCAACAAAGACATTCGACAAAAAAATTGTATATATATTATAATTATTTTTAAATTAATTATAATTAGATATTGAAATTAACTGTAAATTATCCATTTATACTTATATAACGTAATAGATAATAGTGCATGAAACAGATTCTCGTCATAGCGCGATAGTATATTCAAAAAATTATTTCAGAAGAAAAGTCGTTAGTCGGATTATATTTATTACAACCGCGAGTAATATATTGCGCAATTCAAATTTATTGTTATATTAAAATGATAGCGAAATAACAAAAATAGAAATTTTATCATTTTATCATTAATATGCAAATGCCAATCTATACTCATCATTTAACGAATGATTGCTCACGTAATCGTAATATGTTTTCCCCATTACTAGAAATTCACAGAAATCTTGATAGCAAGAATTCGTAAAAAATCGAAAAAGTAGGAGTTTTAAAACGAAATATGTGCATGATTTTTTGCACATGCATATTTATTTAAATGTTGCAACTAATTAAATGTTGTCAAAAAATGTTTGCGACTATAAAATAAGATAATAATTATCACACACACATCAATTTATTTTGCAATATAAAATCTGTTTAATTATGCATTTTTAGCATAATCTAAAAATGATTTAATGCTAGTCGTACATAAATCTTTTGCGTATAATTATACCAATATTCACATATATATATATATATATATATATATTTTTTTATCTCGAATTAGCTCGCATTTAAACGTATAGAGAGATTCGTGTAAAAATTAAAAGAGGTTTTTTTCCAGCAAAGTTTGCGGACAAATTGAGCAAAACTTATAGATAAAATTAATGAGTATGTCGTTAATTATTTTTCGTGCAGCTAAATTAGTTGTAAGCAGCAGTAAAAGTCACGCGTTAAAAGGCGAGGCGGTAAAGTATTCACACAAGGGAATCCTGACTTCTGACGATCATAAAGCGGAAAATATTTGCACGTAGCTTATACGTATTCGCATCGATAAACGGCGGGCAGTTTTGTCGATGCTTGCACATTGGACTATCCAGTGGGGGAACTTTAGCAAACAAGCGTCCGGGGAGATTACCAGTCAGTCGTCAAATGTGCCTACTTTTCTTTGGGACAATTAACTCTCGCTTATCAACCGTACTTTTATTTTAAGGAAATGGCGTCTAGTTTTATACAAATAAATAACAAAGACGCAAAAGTTTACGCTGGCAATTTCTAGCGTCATCGCGCATAAAAGTCATTGATATATAATTGAAGTCGCTGTAGACTGATACCCATCACTTTATACGATCTTATTTGTCTTTTGGCAAGCCACGTGATATTCTCCGCCTAAAGAATTAGACGCTCCACGACCAAGAATTTCGACAATGATGCCAATTAAGCGACAAAGGAGAACAACCGCGACGCTTAGACGCGACAACAGCCCGGGACTAGAGACTCTCGAAAACGGCAGTCTCATCCGTTAGCTCGTTGTCCCTGTCCATCCATTACACTATTATCCCCTCGGTAAACACGGGGATCTACGCCGGACTCCACGCATGGACTTAATGCCTGGCGTGCGTCTGAGAAGGGAGGGCGCAATTTACGCGCAAAAGAACCGGAGGATGTTTCATTCGCGACCGGCAAAAAAGGATGATAATGTCGTCTGCCTCTCCCCTCTACTGACCCTCTTCGAGAGAAGAATGAATTTTTATGACGCGATCGATCATCGTCACTCGTGCTTTCGTAATTCCTCGGCGACCGTCATCGGATGGGAGGGAGCAGTCAATTTTCTGGATCGGAAACGAGAATAAATCCTCGTTCTGCTTTTGTGCAATCGCGCGGATCGATGCGCGGAGATGCACGCGCGGGAGGGGGTTATCAACGGAATAATTTATCCGCGATTTCTCATCGGAGCAGTTCATTCGCGTCAAGTTTCACAGTCGTTCGAACTTCCCTCGGTTCGACGATCATAAATTATTGAATCTTTGAACACGGTATTCTTAACGATCCTCTCAATGCCATTAGCCGTGCCTCTTAATTGCGGAATATATCTCTCTTTCTCGGGGAGAATAATGGATATTCAACGACGTTAATAAGTGTAAAGACGTAAAGGAGCAAACCTTGAAGGTTCCCGCGCGCGCAAGGTCACCCGCGAGATTAAAATCGAGTCGTTTGTTGAAAGAAACGTATAAAGAATCGCGCGCGGCAGAATGATGCTGACAGAAACGAATAATCCGATGATTTCGAAAGTACGTAATAAAATGTAAAGATAAAAATATGCGACACGTGCGACGCGCTAGGGAAGCGCAAATTGTAAACGGATCAAGTACCCTTTGCATTCGCAAAGACCGCAGTAATGTGCATCTATATGCAAATATTCGCGCATCTCACGAACACATCTGCGGTCCGGAAAATCGTTGAACGTCCAACGGATGCATCGTCACGAATATTCCTCCACTCGCGGCCCCGAAGATTTCATCGGTCACACGAGAGAAGCCGCCAAACCATCTGCAGCTTTGCCGCAGAAGCAGCGTCCCTCATCTATCCAAACCGTCTCGGACCCAAGACGCAAATTTCACGTAGCTCCGAATCCGGCGCGTTGACCGTCCGATGGATCGATACCGCCGTAACCAGCCTTAAGGCGCATTCCAGTTTGATGGCCGGAGCAGTCCCGGCCGTAAATGCATCTGTCAAGAAAGTGATTGAAAGCAAACGATACAGGGGGAGTCGCGCGAAAGCCCGATGAATCGGATCTTATTACCTCATTTCAGCGATTCGAATGCGTTTCGATCGGATTTCACAATTATTATGATTATTATGATTATTATGATTATTACGATTATTGTCGAACCGGATTCGCGTGCACGCTCGTCGAATTAGAATCCGGCGAGAAATAATCTAACGGGAACAGAGTCGGCGGCTCTCGACGGCCCCACCGAGATGCCTTGGCGCTTTAATCGACCGTAAAGAATTCGGTTATCGCGTCCGTATTATGGTTTTGTTTACACTTGGTATAATGATATTCGCCGGATATATGTAATAGCATATATAATAGCGGCTTATCGCGGGGCAAAAATTAATCGACGCGATCATAAATTAAACGCGCGGATGTATCGCGCTCAATCGCCCGAGCAATTTAAGAACGAAAATCGCAGAGTCGATCGAAACAAATTCCACGATTTCACGACGCATGATAATACGTGGCAGTTGCAAAAGATTTAGCTAATAAAAACGTACGTTTGACGAGCGACCGTCCGTAAAGCAACGCGGTCAGAACGACGAACGTGGAAATGGGTGGCAAAGGGAAGAATGAAAAAAAAAAAAAAAAAAAAAAAACGAGATGGAAAAAAAGAAACGAGAAAAAAGTGGAAGAAGTAAAAAAGAGTAAAATGTCGAGAGATATATATTCTATCGATGTGGGGCTCGTCTATTTCTCTCACATGGTATTCGCGGAGTGATGGAATGTTTATCAATAGATTAATCTCGGAGATCGGCGGGTGGTTCCGCGTCGTCGTTGGCCAGGCTCCTCGATTGCGATTAAACATAAAAGTATTATTTCAATCTGTACCCCCTCCGCGCGCGTCGGCCGTATATTCCCTCGACTGTGTGTGTGTGTGTGTGTGTACGTCAGCCCCATCGGGGATGCCATACGTACACGACACATCCACACACACGCATCCACACAGGCGCACGCGCGCACCTATTCGCGCGACCGATAGATCGGGCATTTTTCCATTAGATTGGAACTTGATTAAATTGAAAATCTGTCAATTTAGGAAAAAGCATCCGACAGCTTATATTGACGGTGGACATTATACGCGGTGGCCAACGAGGCAGAACTCGTTGGCCTGACAACTAGCGGAGATATAAAACCCATCGTCGCGACGATGGACCCCGGGATGCACGCCGGGCTGTTTACTTTTTGCTTCCTTTTGCGCCCTTGTAAAATTAATTGCCGGACGCTCTTTGAGGGTGACGCTCGCTTTCGCCATTCTACCGATCGCGGAAATTTGCTCACGGTGTCATTCGTTCAATCTCCACCCTGATATGATTCCGACGCAGCACCCTCTGGTGTTTCCCTTCTCTTCTCGCGCCTGTTTCGCTCCCGTTTCGCAAGATAGCCGTAGCTGACGAGTTTTTACAACGAACGCGTTTATCGCGTGCACTTTTTAAAGGGATAATATGGATTTAATTCGCGAGAGAATTTGCTGTGGTGCCTGGTCAGGCCATCGAACGAAACCGCCGAGGGTATGTCCCGTGGTAAGAAAAGGCGTTTCTTCGTCGATAATCTCGAAACTCGATTGCGATGCGTTAAATCTCGCAACAAGGCTCGACAAATTTTATTTGGAAATAACAATTATAAAAATTC